CCACTCAGACCATTATTATGAAGAATACACTAACTAATGTAGGTAAAATTCTCAGAACAGTACCAGGCATCAAGATTGGCAATGATTATTATTAATAATCCTTCCCACCAAGTCAACTTTGCAAGTTACTTGTCATGAAGCTGGGACAAGAAAAGGACAGAAAAAGAGAAAATACTCAGAGTCAACGATGGAAAATTAATAAAATATAGAAGTAGCATAAATCGAAGACCTTGTCCCCCCAAACATTCCAGTAGCAAAGTTTCTTCAAGTGTAGAATAGTATTCTTAAATTCAAGCACAAATTATCACGTTCAGTTATCCTCACCTGAAACCAGGTATGGGCTTGTTCTTTGTGGAGGCTACGGGCCCGCGCAGCGCCGTCCGACAGAACTTTCTGTGCTGACGGGTGGGCTCTCTAATCTGCACTGTCCGATATGAGAGCCACTGACCGCACGTGGCTATGGAGCATTTATAACGTGGCCGATGTGACTAAGAAAATGATGTTTTAATTTTATTTAATGTCAATCATTTTAAACTGAAACAGCCACATGTGACTGGCGGCTACCCTCTGGGGCAGCATAGCTGCAGGGGACTTGAGTGCACAGGCCCCTGGACTCAGCTCCGGCCTGCCCTCCTGCTCCCAATCCACCCGCCTCCCTCATCCCAGCAGTTAACACTCACAAGGCCAGACTACTGTTCTGCACCCACAGCTGTGCACAGGCTGGCCTCTTTGCCTGAAACGCCATTCCTCTCCAGCCACCTCCAAACTCCATGGAAAACCTTGTTCAGATTTCATTTCTCCAAGACCAGCGGCCTCCCGCCCCTGCTGCCTTGCCCCGTCCCGCCACCGGCACAATCTATCACTGCCTCCTCTGTGTTTTTCTGTGTCTCTTGCTGTCGCTCTCACCATCCGGCAGTTGTCAACTATTCCCTGTGATGCCAACAGGCTATGGGAATTTTAAATACCGGGCTGTACTCAACCCTTCATCCTAGTGATGGGTGCCCCTCACATAGTACATGCACAGTAAATATTTGCTGAGTACATTATTAATTGGTGGGTATGTGCAATGTTTTGTTAAAATAAGTTTCAGGCTATTGATAACCACTCTGTGATTAGGGAAACTATATAGGTCAGATTCTTTTATAAGGCCTGCTATCAAACAGTTTTTAAAACTCTTAGAATCTCAGGTGAAGGTCTGCTTATTTCAGTCCATGTCAGTATAGCATTTCAGCACAAATCAAAGAATATCAATGTTCCCTGGAACAAAATCCTACCTGTAGCTGCTCCTGAAGGCCTGGCAGTCTCTTGGATTTCAGAAACTGATCCTGTCATTGACCTGTCCTCAGTGCTTGCAGTGACTTACTAGGGAGACCCGGACGAGGTTGAAAAGCAAGAAGTCAGAGGACCTGATATGGACCAGTCACATGGGAATTCAAGGGCGCTCTCTCCTTGTGCACCCTCTGCCCAACCCAGCCTCCAACAGGGGAATAACTGAAACCTAAGCTAATGAGAAAAATAATGATTGTGGGTGATTTATGTGTGTTCTGTGACATGGGTTATCCAAAAAAGGACTGTGTTCCCCTATTCCTTAACAAAGCTTTTGCTCAAAAAAAAATTCTTCCTTGTTAAAGTATATAGAATCTGTTACAGTATTAACCTGCCCTGAGAGCCATACTAGTTCTCTGGAGTGTTTTGGGTTTTTTTTTCATCACAATCTTCTGACTAATCCTTTATTTGGATTTCCACACAAGTGTCCCTACAATTAGACACAGCACTTGATGGATATATTTCTGCGAATGTAATTTGTGTGAGCTATTTCCCAAGTAGCATACATCTGGCGGCTGTATTTTACAAATGACTGTCTTTCCTGCCCTCCAGGAACTTACAGTTCAATAAGACAAACAAATGGCGCTGGCTGGTGTGGCTCAGAGGACTGAGTTGCAGCTTGCAAACTAAATATAGGGGCATTGATTTTAAACTGGACCAGGAGATACTTCCTAACTACTACAGAATTGATAAGACTGTGGGAAAATATCTTTAAAATATTGCAACAAAATAGCCATCAACCTCAAATTTTTACCCAGCAAAACTGCCGTAAAAAAAAAGAAGTGCAAAATAACATTTGCAGACACACAATTCCTGAGGGGCTTGTACTGAGGAACGTCTGGGATTTACTGCTTAAGGATGGAGGAAAGGGTGTGAAAAAAGCATGTTTTTTCAAAAGTGCTAAGTTTTCTATAATATTATTGTTTCAATTATTTTGTGTAAGGAAAAAAAGCTGGTTTAAATTATTAGGAGTTGAAATTGATGAAACTTGTATTAACCAGGCTTCTTCCAAACAATTCTCTCCACGATTTTGCTGGTTCATGGATAGCATTCTTATTTATATCAGATGCTAAGCAATTAATCAGGAATCTGAAATTACTAAACCTTTCATTATAGGGATAGTGCTGCCTGTGGCCCATATAATTCCAGTATAAATAATTAGAATAAAACTCAATATCTCAAAGTATGCAATATAAAAATGCAAGTAAATATGTTTAGAAATTGGAAAAAAAGGACATTAATTTTATTTTTTTAATACCTTCTAAAACCTGCCCATCTAGGAAGAATACTGATTAAGTCTAAAAATTCAATGCTGTGTGTTATTGGAATGGCCTGTGAATGCCATTAACAGAAGATGCACTTATTTCCAATATATGTCTATTGCTGCTTAGAAAAGAAAATCTGGCTTCCAAACGTTTTGAGGTTAAAAATGAAGATAGTGACCGTAAGTCTCTGAAGATTTGCAATGCTGGCGTGGCATCTGTCTCAATAATACCTCACAAGAACGTCAAACGGGCAGAAACAAGAAGCCACGGTGAGCGGGTTGCCGGCAGCCGGCAGTGACTGTTGTATTTTGGGTGACGGGGAACAGGATTCGCATTAGTTGAAGTGAAATACAATGCCCTGCCAACGCTAGGTATCAGTGCATTCAATCCCCCTGCTGTGCCGTGTCCATTTTCTGTTGCTGCAATTAAAAATTAGTCAATACAAAGTCAAAATGTTGTACATTCTTCCCCTATCCCTTTCCCTGTCACTGTGTTTCCAGCTTCACCGGAAGAACATGTCGCCATGGTAACCAATCCCTCTGGTGCACAGACCAAGTCAACCTTTCCAGCCAGATTGCCAAGCAGAGCAACATGGAATCAAAGCACTCATTACATCTGTCAGAAGCCATGAATTCCCGCCCCCTTTTTCTAAGTGAGGTTAACCCATATCAGATGGAAGGGTACCTGTCTTGTTCCAGGAGATGCTCAAGGCAGGAAATGCAAGAACGCCCTGCAGTAAGTCCTACCAGCGTGCATCAGTCATTATTAACGTGAATTCTTCCTCACACTCCGGCTAACTTCCTACCATTCCCATTTCAATGAAAGCGGGAAACGATGGATAAAGCAACACTATGAGTCTGAGAAGCCGGAAACCGCTATCAAGTCACACACGGTCCAACACTATTCTGCCTGCTCTTCTTTCCCTACTTCTACCTCCAAACCCGAGTTGCTCTCACCTGGCATTGTCTAAGATCCCACACACCCGTACAAAGTTGCAGAGCTCCGGCTGGGTCACCCTGCTCTAGTAAGTGCCTAACCGTGAAGCAGACGTGATGTGTACCATGTTAACACGTGCACAACTACACTAGCTAAAAATCCATAGTCATTCTACAGAACCTACAAAATGAGCGTTAAGACGGGCTCTCTCTCTGGACCTACCTCACCCAAGTCCGAATGGCCACCAAGACCATACCTGCTGCTTGTCACTCGGAAACAACGGACGTTTTTATTAACATTTTTTCTGATCCACGTCAACATTTTTTAGAAATCAAAGAACACCTGTTTTCACAAATTATGTTTTAAAACAGCATCAAACCCGCATGTGGATATTAAGAGACATTAGGAACTGTTTCATATCTTGGCCTCAAAGACAGCTGATAAACAGCGTCATTTCAGCTTACCATCACCACTTAATCGTTGAAAAGAATGAAATATAGTGGAGAGAAAACCAAGATGTAAGCTCGCACCAGGATGTAGCTACCACAGAAGAGCAATATCAATATACATCCAAACAATATTTCAGTGGGTTAATGGAACAGGAGGGTCCCCAAAGTATATATCATACAAGATTTACAAACTGTATCCGATATTAGCAGACTTAAAAATGTGTGTGCTCATACTAAAGTATCAAGTAAATTTTTATCATTAGCAAATACAGATGTTTTCCTATTTTGCTACACTGGGTATTTTGTATATGTCTTCTGGAAACAGTATTTTTTTTTCTCTGCGGTGCCCACTTTGGTGTTATCTGAAGAACTACTTTTTTGTGCTTGTTACACCCTGCCAAGATGCCATACACACAGGTCACTTTTGTCAACCACTTTTTCAGAAGGAGAAATCAAGCACTGCGGTATGACGCTACTGGTCAGCAGGCTTGGCGCTGCCACGGGGCAGGAGCTGGGCCCTCCTGACGTTTACACGCCCAGTGCCTGCACCGTGCCTGGTAGAGTAGGCACCTAGCAACCGTTGCTGGCACCAATAAGGACTTTGGTGTGAGATGTTTCCCCCAATTTGCCTTGATGAATCAGTTCAACATCCAAAATGAAAATCAAAACTAGGAGTCCATCTAACCTAACACATCACTCTTAAAGGGCTTCCTCTATCCCCTTCCCTTTCAGAGACTGATCCAAGTAGGATCCTGGATGAAAATCCTGAACCCTGAGAATCTCAGACAAACGCGAGGCAAGAGGCGGGGCAGAGAGAGGTAAGCCTCAGTCACCAGCTACTGGGAGGCGAAGTTTCGGCCACTCCGAGGCTCTCCAAGGCTCCAAGGCTCTGGAGAGCCTGCGTAACCTGACCTCCAGGAACCGGGAGGCCTGATAGACCTCGGCCGGGCTTAGGAAGGAGAGGGCTGCGGGCCTAGCTGGGGCCAGGCGTGCCACAGCGCCACGCCTCACGGGCTGTGCTTACCTTTTCGAATGAGGGCCGCGATCTCGGGGTCGAAGCCCTGCCGGTGGCACTTCCTCCAAAGGCCCATGTTGGTGGAGTTGTACTGCCGGCTGCACTCGTCAGCCGGGCTCATGGCGAAGAGCTGCCGGCGGTTCCGGGCCCGGAGGAGTTTGCCCTCCCAGCGGTCCAGGCGCGAGCGGCTCGCGCGGAGGGGCAAGTTGTTGTTGTTGTTGTAAATGAAGCCGGGGTCCACCCGGCGGGTGTTGAAGGCCTTGCACCTGTCCCTGTGCTTCCTGGCGTCCGTCTCGTACCAGTGGTCCGAGCAGATGGCCACGGCCAGCATGCCCAGGGCGCAGAGCGCGAGCGAGAGACCGGTGTAGAGCAGTAACCTTCCGGCAGCCATGCCTCCGCTTCGCGGCTACACCATGGGCATGATCCGCCGCAGCCTCGCCTTCCCTCCGCGCGCTCGGAACAAAGCGACGGGGGCCCGAGCCAAGGTGGGTGCGGGGGGGGGGGGACAGGAGGAGACTCGCAGCGGCGCCCCCTCGGCCCCCACCTGCCGGTGCAAGGCCCAGGGACTGCGGGGGTGGGGCGCACAGCCTACAAAGTTCTGATCCGGAGAGACTCCGGCGGTCTCCTGGGCATCCTCCGGGGCAGGCGCAGCCTCCGGCGGCCGCGAGCCTACCCAGGCCGCCTCCCGCCCCCTCGCTGCCCCGCGGGAAGCGACTGCTCTGAACCGGCCGAGTCCGCACACAGCCGGGCTTCGGGCGCCGCTGCCCTCCCGCCGGGAGCTAGACGCCGAGTGCCCTAGGCTGCGGCGGGGCCGCTGGGCTTTCTCTGTGCAGAGTGACGACGGGACCCGCACGCAGGGCTTGCCTGGGGTGGGGGACGGGCTGTCGGCAGGAACCACTCAATGACGGAACGGACTGAAACGCCCGCGATGCGGCCGGCCAGCGAAGGAGACCTCTGGATGCCAGGGCCGGCTGCCCGGACTCTGCCCTAGGTCTCCCTCTCAACAATTCTCCCTCTGCCGGTCTGCAGGCAGAGAGACGTTCTTTTTCTCCGGGTCGGGTCTTTTAGAAATCTCCGACGCACGGCCACCAGCAGGTCCCTTGTCCCGTCTGGCCAGCACTCCGCACTCAGAGGCGGGCTCCCCGTGGGCACGCGGTCTCAGTCGACCTTCCCCTGCGGGCTCCTGGTTCGTCTGACTCTTGCCTCGCCATTCAAGCCTCCCCTCCGGCCCACGGCGCGGTCACCCGGACGGCGTACGGGACGAGCCTTGGCCCGGGCTTTGCGGGAACTGGGCGGCAGCTGGCGGGCGCAAGGAGCGGGCTGCGCCGAGGCTGGCGCACCCGGCGGGGCGCGCTGCACCGGGCTCGCGGAGCTGGGCGCGCGGCGCCTTCAACACCATGGACAGGTCGCACGGTCGCGGCGCGCCGTCCGCCCGGCAGCCAGCCCCCGGGTCGTCATGCCGCTTTCCCCCGCGCGGTCTTCTTCCTGGAGTGTCCACCCGGCCTCCTCCAGACCCGCCTCTCCCGCGACGCCACCGCCTCACTTCACGTGGCTCCGGGCTAGCTCCGGGAACGCGCTGCCCAGGTGCAGAGAAAATACTGCAGGCGCCGAGTGAAACAGCGGCTGGCCCTGGCCCTTCCAAACAACCCGCCCCCTTTCCCCGCCGCGAGAGCCCGGGCGCTCGAACGCCGCGTCCGCGCGGCCCGACTGGGGTCAGCCGCTCTCAGTCTGCACCATTTTCTTCGCTGCCCACCCGGGGCCGAGATGCCGGCTCGCTCGGCCGCGTGGAGAGAATCGCGTCCCGGCCTCCGTGTCCCGCGATCAGGCTCCCGGCGTGCAGTGGTCGCCGAGGTGAATGGGGCGAGGGTGGGGGAGGGAGGCTGGGTGGCTCGACTTCCCCTCCCCGCCTCCTCCTCTGGCGGCGGCGGCTCCGGGCCTTTCGGGCTCGGCCGGTGCCGGGAAGCGAGAGCCGAGGCTGCGCCCGCCCGGAGGGCTCGGGAGATCGCCTGGCCCGGGTGCGGGCACCAGAGGAAGCCGCTGCCGCGCTCGCTCGCTCTTCTCGGGCGCCCGGCGCTGCAGCCTTGGCTAAAACCCACAGGCGAGAACACGGAGCGCGCGGCCAAAAGCTAGTGATGTCATCCGTGCAACGTGAGCCTCATCTCTTATTTTTCTAGCCGCCTTAAAGATAAACTGCACCATTTCCCAGGCACGGAATGTCTAAGCCTTATTCTTTGACCAGGCAAGTCAATGGTGTCTAGATAGGTATGTGCCCGACCACATCCATATTTATGCACATATACATATATGTGGTATGTAGCATGTTTACATGCATTATTATTATACATTTAGGGATGTTGTCTCCATCTCCCGTTTCTCTTTTACCAGTGGTGGTAAAAACCGGCCTCGGTTCTTTAAAAGAAAAGACTGCTTATCGCAGAGTCGGCGTTCCTAGAGGCTGAGGAAGTTCGCTGCGTCCCCGCGTTCGGTCGCAGGTGTCTGGGGTTGTGTCTGATGTTTGTTTTCCCCGGAAAGCCACCGCGCTGTCTTGCTAGCTACAGGCGTTTGCACCCGGGGCTGCGCGGCCCGCGGGGTTATCGCAGCCAGCCCTTCTGCAGCCCCGCGCCAGCGCCAGACACTCCGACACACGCCCTCCTCCAGCTCGGTCCTCAGGAGGAAAAGAAAAAAAAAAGAAAACTGGTCCTTTCAGTACAAGAGGAAGAGAATTTTAACTGGGGAGGGGGGCTGCTTCAACCGCTTTTTTGAAAACGCTCGGGGCCTCGCGCTCTGAGGAGGGCGGGGTTCGCGGGGGGGGGGGTCAATGAAACGTGGGTGCGGGATTTGCCCTCTTCTGGGTGGCGGCTGAATTTAGGCCCTGCCGGGGCTCTGAGAGGTAGGGCTGGACCCGGGACCTTGAGCGGGTGGGCCGCAGGCGAGCGCCGCTTCCCCCCGCCGGCCCGCTCACGTGAGACAGCGCCGCCGCAAAGGCTGGGAGCCTCCCTCCCAGGTTGCAACCCAAGATTCTTTCACTCTAACGCTCACCCCCTCTTTTCACCCTCACTCCAAAGTCGAGGTGCCGCACTGCCGCGTAAAGAGCTGCGCCCGGGGAGGGGGGGGGGGCGGTACGTGGGGGGGGAGTGCCCGGCACCCTGCTTTGCACAATGGGGCCTGCGGGCCAAAATGAGCGCCCCTCCACCATTTTTTTTCTTTCTTTCTTTCTTTCTCTCTTCTTTTTTTTTTTTTTTTTTTGGTCTTTTTTTCCTCCTTCCAGCATTTTGAAAACCGACAACGAGGCGTTTCAGTGCCATCTAGTGGGGGAGGGGCGTGCCTCGCTTTTCGTCCCTCGTTGCTGCAAAAGGGATTTGTTGAAGGGACAGCAGAAACTGAGGATGTCCGCTCCAATCTTGGGCGCCCTGCTGGGCGAGGGGCTGTCGGCCTGTGCCCTTCGCCAGGTCCCGGTCCCCTGAGCTCCCTAGGATGGTGAGGCGGAGCCAAGGGACTTTGGCCCCAAAGTCTTCTCACCTCTTTCTACCCTTCTCTTACCAGTTCTCCCTCCCCGCAACAGTGAAAATAGGGAAATGAGCAGCAGCAAGCGCGCTGCGCACAGGCAGGCCACGCCATGCAGTGCTGGAGCTGCTCTCTTCTGGGAAGGCCAGAGCGCTTTTAGGCTAACAGGGTGTTCGCGTTTGACAGTAAGGAGAGAGGAGGCCAAAAGGTGAAATGGCATCTACAAGGTCACTCTGGAAATTGGGGCACAGCCAGCTTTAGAGCCTCAATCTCCTGATACCCCACTCTCTGCTCCCCCTGAGAACCATCTGAAAGAGGTGCCCCTGAGACTCCTGGGAGCCCAGGCGGCTGCCCATTTGCGATCAACATACCTGTTCAGTTTTCCTGTACCTGTCCTCCCTCTCACATGACTCCACCCCTTTCTCGTTCTTGTGGCCTGTGCCCTGGGCCTGCCTCCAAGCACATGCCTTGCCCCTGCACCCCTGGTGCTGCTCTTTTTTTTTTAAGATTTTATTTATTTATTTTTAGAGAGGGAAGGGAGGGAGGGAAGGAGATAGAGAGAGAGAGAGAAACATCAATGTGCAGTTGCTGGGGGTCATGGCCTGCAACCCAGGCATGTACCCTGACTGGGAATCAAACCTGCGACACTTTGGTTCTCAGCCCGCGCTCAATCCACTGAGCTACGCCAGCCAGGGCTGCTGGTCTTCAGCAGTCCTGTGATTGGGGCCCTGCTGGGGTAAGGACCCAAACGTCACGCTGTCCTCTTTTCTGATCATCATTAAAATTCTGATTAAAAATTTTTGTCCTTGATGACCTCCCCCAAAGCCCATGAAAGTTGATGTGAGGCCCTACACCATTTGTGGATGATCCTGGTGTGGGGGGGCTAGAAGGATGGTGAATTCTTCTAGTCTATAGGACTACATGACTTTCTTTTCTTCTGTCTTCTTCCAGCTCCTTCCATCCTGTGAGCTCCACCATCTCTGTATTGCCAACCTTTTCCTTCCCATTTCCACCTACTCTGTGCTAGGATCATAAAATCTCAAAACCAGAAGGGACTTTAGAGTCGGCCACACAATGATGCATTAATCACTCCTAGAACATTTCCCAAAAAGTAAGTGAGCCGTTTCTGCTTGCACACTTGGCAGTGATCGGGAAATCACTCTCTGGGCAAGCACCCTGTTCCACTATCGGATTCTGTTAAGTGGTCAGATAGCCCTGCCTTGTACTCAATCGTAATCTAGGTCCCAGTAATCCTAGCCATCGGCCTTTGAGAAGCCCACAGATACCTGACTCCTCTTCCCCGTAATGGTCCCTCTCATACTCCACGTCAGCCATTGTCCCTCTAAGCCTTCTTCTGTCTGGGCTAAGCATCCCTTGCTCATTGCCTCCTGGTGCTTGCTCATATTGACCAGCGCTCCTTGATCTGACAGTCCTGCCAATCGATGAAGACATGTGGACAGCCATTTTTTTATAAGACCCACATGGAGTTCTAATGATCCTTACTTTCTCTTCTAGGAGCCTACAAGTCACCTCTTTTGAACGCTATCCTAGGATCTTGCCCCCAAAATGACATTAAGATCATGGATTTTCAGCCCTGGCTGGTGTAGCTCAGTGGATTGAGCGCGGGCTGCGAACCAAAGTGTCGCAGGTTCGATTCCCAGCCAGGGCACATGCCTGGGTTGCAGGCTATAACCCCTAGCAACCGCACACTGATGTTTCTCTCTCTCTCTCTGTCTCCCTTCCCTCTCTAAAAATAAATAAATAAAATCTTAAAAAAAATCATGGATTTTCAGTTTGTGAAATTTGCATTTTTAAAATATGGAATTTCTTTTGCACACACACAAACATACACACACACACCCTTTTTAAAGAAAAACAACGATTACATTTTCCATGCTTTTTCTAAGGTCAACAGTAGAGTTCAGAAATGTAACTAAAAGTTCTCTCATTTTCCTGGGGTACAGGTCACCCAGAGCAGATAGATGCTTTCCTATAATTTTTTGCCCATCGTGAACTGCCTCCCGCTATCACGTTTGTTCTACTCTACACCCCACCTTCAATCTGAAAGTCACTCTCCTTGACATTGTGAACTGGAAGCAAAGTAAAAGCTGATGAGGGATGCTTTCTCTTTGCCGGCTGTCAACAGTACGTCACCTGCCCAGAGAAAAGACCCCTCATGTACTTGTATTCCCGTTTTCCTAATGAACTGTGCACAACTTAGACATTGTTTGAAGCCCAAAAGTCATCTTCCACTTTAGGCCTCTGACACAGTCCTCCCAGTCTGTGACATGTGTACTGGTATTTATGCTTGAATAAGTTCCCTTCTTTCCAAATCTCAACTCATCAGAGATTCATATTGGTTTGTTGAGCTACTTTCCTTCCTATCTTCCTTATTAGGGTCGTTACAAACAAAAGGCTATTTTCTTCTCACCCCTGAGTACTTAAGTCCTCTCTTTGTTTTTATTTTCTTCCTCCTTTACCACATCATCATATTAATCTTATTAAATTCTACAGTTACTGCCCTGACTGGGATAGCTCAGTTGGTTGGGCATCACTGCACAAAGCAAAAGGTTGCTGGGTTTGATTCCGAGTCAGGGCACGTGACTGCATGGTGGGACTGGTCTGTAGTTGGGGCGTGTGTGAGAGACAATGGACATTTCTCTCCCTCTCTTTTTCCCTCCCTGCCCCTTTCTCTAAGAATAAATAAATATCACTTTTTAAAATAAATAAATTCAACAGTTACCTTTTACTCAAAACTCTGCAGCAGTTTCATCTCGCCTGTACAGTAAAGCTCCCGCCCTTTACCCCCACACAAGGCCCCACAAAGGCTTCAGCCTGTTTCCACGGCTGACCATGACACGCCCTCAGACACACCCTGTGTGTGTCTTCTCAACATGTTTTGAAAATCCCCACATTGGCATCATTCCTCTCGCCCATAAAATATTTAGCTACTCTGCTTTTTAAAGTTCTTATGTTACAGGTGCCTCATATCAATAGGTCAAATGAATATCTTTTGATCATCTCACTAGAAGCTGAAAAGACAACCAGTCAAACCCAACAAACATTCCTGATGTTTAACAGTTCTTCCTAAACTAAATGTGGCTGAAAATGAGTAAGATCATCACCTGCATAAAGAAATATTTCAAACTCATAGGAAGAAAACAAACAATACAACAGAAAAAATGGGCAAAGTTTATAAAAATTGACAGAAGAAATCCAAATGGAAAATTAACATTAAAAAACTCAACCTCACTAGTAATCGTGGAATCAATCTCTTTTTTTAAATACTGCTTTTTACCCATCAGCTGGGAAAAAAATTATCTGTTAATGTCAAGTGTTAATGTCAAGTGTTGGCCTGGGCGTGAGGAGACACACTCTCATGCACTGCTGATAGGAGCACAAGCTGAGACAGCCACTCTGGGGGGCCATGGGGAGCAGCTGTTAAGATGAAAAATACATGTTTGTTATGACCCAGAAGATGTACTTCTCAGTCCCCAGCCTGTAGAAACACACAAAGGGCAAAGAGTATCTTTAGCATGCTACCCATATTAGTTCCTAGAGCTTCTAGGACAAGGTACCATGAACTACATGTCTAAAAATTTCAAAAATGTGTTTTTGCACCGTTCTAGACACTAGAAGTCCAAAACCACGGTGTTGGCAGGACCGTGCTCCCTCTGCAACAGGTAGGAAAGAATCCTTCCTTACTTCCTCTGGCCGCCAGTGTCTGCTGGCACTCCCTGACACTCCTTGGCTTACAGATGCTTCCCTATGATCACTGCCTCTACCGTCACATGACCATCTTTCCTCACATCAGCCTCCCTCTGTCTCCAGATTTCTCTCTCCTTATAAGGACAACAGTCATACTGAGTTAGGAGCCCACATCACTCCAGCACGACCACATTTTATCTAATCACATGTACAGTGACATTGATTCTAAATGAGGTTGCATTTTAAGGTCATAAGGGTTAAGACTTAAACATATCTTTTGGAGGGGGACACTATTCAACCCATAAATCTACCTTTTATATTTAAAAAGAAGGTACATTTAAAAATAGGCATGTATCTGCTTATTTGTGCATAATGAAAGGGTCACGCAAGAACCAAGAAGCCAAGCCAAGTGACCAGATGTTGACTGCAGAAAGCCACTACCACCTGGAAGCTAAAGGCAGGCTCACCCCTAACAAAGAGTCTAGGGAAAGAGTATAAAGGGAGGCCCACACATCATGTATCTAAATGTTTAAAAGGTAAAAGTCACCCTGGCTGGTGTAGCTCAGTGGATTGAGTGCAGGCTGCGAACCAAAGCATCGCAGGTTCGATTCCCAGTTGAGGCACATGCCTGGGTTGCAGGCCATAACCCCCAGCAACCACACATTGATGTTTCTCTCTCTCTCTCTTTCTCCCTTCCTTCCCTCTCTAAAAAAATAAATAAATAAAATCTTTTAAAAAAAAGGTAAAAGTCAAGTGAAAAACTGTTAAATAAAAACATTCTATCCTTCTACCTTACAAATATCTTTATAATGACAAAATTTTCAAATATGTGTAAAGTTCTGTTTTTGTACCAATAAAAGTCAAAATAATGAAGAGAAGCAAAATCAGTATTGTTGCTCATGTATTGATGAGCAATGTGAAGATGAGTAAGAAAACAAAGACATTCCTAATTCATAACTTGCAATACATATTTCATATGGCTTATTTTTCCTGACTTTCATTTCAGAGAAATCATTCTACTGTTATAATCAAGATTTTCACATAACTTTATATTTTATTGATGGGCATGCCAAATGTTTTTGACAACTGTTTTTGACTCACTGTGGTTTTTAGATAGTTTTTTCTTATTAATTTCAATTTGGAGGAACTTTACTGAGGCAGAAACACTTCCAGTGGAAGTATCAATAAAATTACTAAAGCAATACTTACATTTGGAATTTTACATGTTACATTTAAGCACTGTAATGATGACATATGACAAGTTATTGTTAATACAAAAAATTATATTACTTTATCATATAAAAGATTATCACATATATCATGATTTTACTATCTCTTAAAGTAGTATCATGATCTACACAAGATCTATAGACTATTTATTTAAAAGTTATTTTTTATTGATTGATTTGAGAGACATCTGTTGTTCCACTTATTTATGCATTCATTGGTTGTTTTTTCCTTCTATTTGTTTATTTTTATTATATTTTCTTGTTTATGCTATTACAGTTGTCCCAACTTTTCCCTTTGACTGCCTCCACCCAGCCCCCCCAATCCCTCAGGCAATCCCCACACCATTGTCCATGTCCGTGGGTCATGCACGTACGTTCTTTGGCTGCTCTATTCCTTTTGCTGTGCATTCCCATGACTATTCTGTAACTACAAATTTGTACTTTTTAATCCCTTCACCTTTTTCACCCATCCCCTAACCCTTTCCCATCTGGCAACCATCAAAACGTTCTCTGTATCTATGATTCTGTTCCTGTCCTATTTGTTTGTTCATTTTGTTTTTTAGATTCAATTGCTGATAGATATGTATGTATTGCCATTTTATTGTTCATACTTTTGATCTTCTTAAAGACCCTTTAACATTTTATAAGACTGATTTGGTGATGATTAACCCCTTTAGCTTCTTCTTGTCTGGGAAGCTCTTTATCTGCCCTTCAATTCTAAATGATAGCTTTGCTGGATAGAGTAATCTTGGTTGTAGGCCTCTGCTTTTCATGACTTTGAATATTTCTTGCCAATCCCTTCTGGCCTGCTAAGTTTCTTTTGATAAACCAGTTGATAGCCTTATGGGGGTTAGGTAACTAACTGCTTTTCTCTTCTGCTTTTAAGATTCTCTCCTTGTATTTAACCTTGGTGATTTACTTACGATGTGTCTTAGAGTGCACTTCTTTGGGTCCATCTTGTTTGGGACTCTCTGTGCTTCCTGGCCTTACGTGCCTATTTCCTTCACCCGTTAGGGAAGTTTTCATTACATTTTCAAATAGGTTTTCGATTTCTTGCCTTTCTATTTTCCTTCTGGCACCCCTAGGATGCAAATGTCGGTACACTCGAAGTTGTCCCACAGGCTCCTTACACGATCCTCGTTTTTTGGATTCTTTTTTCTTCTTGCTGTTCTGATTGGTGGTGGTGGTGGGGGTTGTTTTTTAATCACCAAATGTCAGACCATCAATCATCCAGGCACTCACGCCAGAACACTGGGCATAGACAGGCCTCTCTGCCACTTAATGACACAACTGTCACACGGCAGCCACATCTGCAACACCTCTAGGGGCAGGGTTTTTTGGGGTTTTGGGATTTTTTTTTTATGATTGGTTGTTTTTGGCCACCACCTTGACTGGAATTCTCCCATTGATTGTTTCTTGTATATGCCCTGAATGGGGATAGAATCTGTAACCTTGACATATCAGGACGACACTCGAACCAACTGAGCTACCTGGCCAGGGCTAAAAACTTCTTTCAAATATTCCAATGCTAGAATGAAGAGAACCAAAAATCGTACTACATTGCTGAATTTCTTCAAATCTCTCTCCAGTCAAGACACGTGCCTGGGTTGCAGGCCAGGTCCCCAGTAAGGGGCATGCAAGAGGCAACCAACCATCCACTGATGTTTTTCTCCCTCTCTTTCTCCCTCCCTTCCCCTCTCTCTAAAAATACATAAATAAAATATTTTTAAAATATTTTAATCCTTTTAATTATGAAATTACCAAACTTAGATCTGCTTTTGTCTATGCTTCATGTCAAAAAATTGTAGATAGCACAAATCCAAAATTAACTTCATTTTCTATAAAAGATATTTTGCTATCTTTAAAGATCTTTTATTATTTCACTTGACTATTCTAAAATATCTTATAACCTTTCTAAATTAAATGTAATGACGTTAACAGCATTTAGTCAACATATCCTTCATGTGTCTTCAGTGGTAGCTACAAGGTCAAATGTAATGTGTTTCATCTATGGCTAGATGCAAGACATATCATAATCTTTTAATTTCTCCAAAGAACTTCTTGATTATTGACTCCGTGGAGGCCACATCACTAGTAACAAATTCAAACAACATTCCGTACATGTTATAAAGAATGCTCCTGGATTTTAGTCCAAAACTCAGGTTAGGTTGAGACATACACATATAATTTAAGAGCAATTTGAATTGCAAGAACATAATATTGCAAAACATTCCTCAGTTCCTGGGTACAACTGTTCAAAATACCGCCCTAATTCATGTGTAACTCCAGAACCATGAATTGGAACACAAAGGGAAGCAAGAAAATGGATGCTCATCACGACTGGGATAAAACACTCCCTCGTTCAAAAATCTACTGTATGCATTCTACCTGGGAGGAAGGATTTGACAAGTTAATCATACCATCTTTTCTTTTATCAAGTGCTTCCATCCTCATATCCTCTCAGCACTCCAAGGCGGTACCTATCTCCAATGTCAGCAAAACTTGAAGGCATTCAGATGCCATTGTCTTGTGTTTTGAGGACACAGGACAAGAGGTGTAGAGAAGCATTCCCTCCTGTCTGCACTGTGTTAACCAAAAGAGCAAATGACAGACTATGTTGTGCCAATACTGATGCGGGATCCCTAAACATTAGAGACAACTATGAGTTCTTTAATTCAGCAGCTGTGTGTGTGCATGTGTGTGTGTGTGTGTGTGTGTGAGAGAGAGAGAGAGAGAGAGAGAGAGAGGTACAAGACTCTAAAAATGAGGTCCAGACAGGGACCTTTATGCTGGGGACTAAGAGCACTCAGGCTGGAGGAACAAAAAGAGGAAAGAGCATACCTGAGGCCAGGTACAAGATTTTGCCCAGCAAAAACTGGAACCATGGAGATAGTTGTCTGGCCAGAGCAGGAGTGTGAAATGGAGGCATCTGCTGCAGGACTTGCTACCTGTGGTGAGAATAGGGGTGGAATACCCTGCTTCTCCCTTTCCTCTGCTCAGCAACCTCTTGCCAGGACCTCCCATTGGCTGAACCCAGATGGACACCAGCTGACATGGGAGCCTTGGGCTCAGAATGCAAATGTCAACCCCCTGCAGAACAGAGCAAGGAAAATGATGGAACAAATCCGAGAGCAGACAGGCTAGGATGGACTGACACACAGTGGAACTCTAGAGGTATTACCATAAAATTAGGATTAAGACAAATATGCTGTTTAATATTTGGCTCAAGCATAGGGCAGGCAACAGAAATAAGAGTTACAATAATTGGAAATGAGAATGCAAAAACTATTACTATACATGAATAATACCTCTTAAAAACTCAAAAGAATAAACTAAACACTATTAATAGTAATAAGAGAATTCAATAAGATGACCTCATATTTAACAATGTACAGGAATCAATATATTCCAAAATAACAGCTATTAATTACTAGAAAATATACTGGAAATCTATCCCATTTACAGTAACAAAAACCCTATAATATACTTAAGAATAACAGGTACAAAGAAAGTGAAGGCTTTATATGAAGAAAACTGTAAAATTTTATCAAGACATACATGACCTAAAAAGATGGAGAAAACTACCATGTTCCTGAACAAAACTCCTCAATATTATAAAAATGTCCATATTTTACATAATCACTTACAGGTTTAATACAGTTTCAATCAAAATCTCAATAGGTTTTATCAGAACTTGGATAATAATTCTAAAGGTCATCTAAAAAGTAATCTACTAGTAGTTTGCAGAGAAAGGAGACCATCAACAAAATAAGAAGACAACACGCCCTGGCTGGCGTAGCTCAGTGGATTGAGCGCGGGCTGGGAACCAAAGTGTCCCAGGTTCGATTCCCAGCCAGGGCACATGCCTGGGTTGCAGGCCATAACCCCCAGCAACCGCACATTGATGTCTCTCTCTCTCTCTCTCTCTCTCCCTCCCTAAAAATAAATAAATAAAATCTTAAAAAAAAAAAAAAGAAGACAACACATGGAATGGGGGAACATATCTGCTGATACATCTGGTAAAGGCGTAATATCCAAATTTTATAAAGAACTCATAAAACTCAACACCAAAAAACCAAACAACCAAATTAAAATATGGGCAAAGAACCTGAACAGATACTTCTCCAAAGAGGACACACAGATAGCCAATAGACTTATGAAAAGGTGCTCAACATCATTAATGATCAGAGAAATGCAAAACCACAATGAGATAACACCTCACACTTGTCAGGATGGCCATCATCAATAATCAGCAAATACCAAGCACTGTCGAGGATGTGGAGAAGGGGGAACCCTTCTGCACTGTTGATGGGAATGCAGACTGGTGCAGCCACTGTGGAAGGCAGTATGGAGATACCTCAAAAAATTAAAAATGGATCTGCTTTCAACCCAGTGATCCCACTTCTGGGAATATATCTAAAGAAACCCAAAACACTAATTTGAAAGAACATAAGAACCCCTATGTTTATTGCAGCATTATTTACAATAGCCAAGATATGAAAGCAGCCTAAGTGTTCATCAGTAGATGAGTAGATAAGACAACTATGGGATATTTATACAATGGAATACTACTACTTGGCCATAGAAAAGGAGAAAATTTCACCCTTTGCAACAGCACAGATGGACCTGGAGGCCATTATGCTGAGTGAAATAAGCCAGTCAGAGAAAGACAAATACCACATGATTTCACTCATATGTAGAATCTAGTGAACAAACTGAACTAGTAAGCAAAATAGAGACAGACTCATAGACAGAGAGTAGGCTGACAGCTATGGGTAGGGGGGCAGAGGGTAAGGGGTGGAGGGAATGTGCAAAAAGGAAAAAGGATTCATGGACATAGATGACAATGTGGTGATTCTGGGGGTTAAATGGTAATGCAAAAAAATATACAATAAAATTTTTAAAAGAAAAATATGTATAGCTATATCTGTATAGCTATACATATAGGGGTGGGCAAAAGTAGGTTTACTGGTGACAATAAAGAACTCTGTGCCAAAGCGTGCTTGAGTACAGCAAACAGACCACAAAGAATGTGTAAACAATGATGGCCAACAATCTGAGCATTTACAAGATTGTACCAAAGTGAGTGCCCTGTACCATTGTGACATCCTTTTGAGATAAAATAAAATTAATTTAATTTAATTTAAAAATTTACTAGTGGGAATACTCAAGATATTTTGCAATAATTTCTCTGTCATAAGCATTAAGGTATTTTTAAAGCAACACTATTTAAAATAGTGAGATAGCCACTTCTCAGACCTCACATTCCCTCCCCAGAAATCCCAGAATTTTAATAAATAAAAAGAATGAGGAACCTAATCAAATCACTTGCTAAAAATCAAAGGAGCACACAATTTGCATGAAATTAAGACTTCTTAGGGACTACAATTCCATAAGGTCTGGAAACATGATGAGTGGACAACATCTTCCCAGACAAGCTTTGACAAGTAAGGGTAGCCTGTGAGGCACTTCACCACAGCCCTCACGTTTCCCAGGCACTGACCTCCTGGGCTGAGGAATCATGGTCTCTCTGTATGACCTCCTGTTCTATTCCCTGCCCTGACATCTCATGGGTCTGGATCCTGTGAGTCCTTGATTACCTGCTACATCATCTGCTATGGAATGAATGTTTGTGTCACCCAAAAATCCATAATTTGAAGCCCTAACCCCCAATGTGATGATATTTGTAGAAGGGGCCTTTGGGAGATAATTAACATTTAGATGAGGTCTTAAGGGGAAGCCCCCCAGGACACAATTAGACCAGAAAGTGTGCTCGCTCTCTCTCTCTCTCTCCCCACTCTATCCCTCCCCTGCTCCCTCCATCTCTCCTCCAACACACACACACACCCATACACACACACACATGAAGACACAGAGAGAAAACAGCTGTCTATAAGTCAGGAAGAGAGTTTTCATCAGAACCCAACCACGCTGGCTGGCACTCTGATCTTGGACTTTCAATCTCCAGAACTATGAGAACATCAATTTCTGTTGTTTAAGCCACCCCGTCTATGATGTTTCGTTAGGGCACCCGGAGCAGACTAAGACGCCACAGTCCCCATAACAACTCAAAGGGACACAAGTTTGAACCACAATGTGGAGTGTCTCCACCACATCATGCCTGGTCAAGTGAAGTGATCTACATGTTGCTGGACGAGGTGTCTCCAGTTCTAGGACAGGATAAGCCCTAATCTCCCTTTCTGGATATCAGTATTTCCTGTGTGTCACCAGTGTTCAGTCTCTCTCTCTCTTCTTTCTCCCTTCATTCATCTGTTCTGCGATCGCCATGTGCAAGCACTCTTCTAGGTTCTCGAAAAGACATCAGTGAAAAG